AAATTGTTGTCCAGACCCCAGGGTGGGTTTGAGAATATGAGTGTCCTGAAAAGTAATTACTTAACTATTAAAGAACGAAAATAGAACCAAATACTGTACAATCATGCATCAAGTTCAAATATGACGAATATCACATTAATTTCCTTTTTCCTTCTAGCCCTGTCACACCCTTCCTGTCAAACAAAATCGGCAATAAATGAAGTGGAACGAGTCATGAAGAAGAAGAAACAGGATCAACTGAAGCAATAGCGCTGGGGGCAGGCTTTCTTTTGACTATTTTCGACCTAATCCTGTATGAAAAAAAAGACATATGTACACTACATGTATACGACTTAAGTTATTAATTGGAATAATTCTAATGACTATGACGAGAATGAAATAAACTTTTCACGAGATGGCCCCAACGCTAGAATTTTCTACATATATTATACGTATGCACGTAACAGACTGAATACAGGAATGAGCATTTTTCAAGGGATTAAGTCCCACAAAAGAATGTACAGTGGATTCGTTGTCATCTCTTTCAGACAGTACACTCAAAATAATATGTGAACCAAGTAACCAAATGTCTTCAGGCCCGTAGCCAGGGGGGGTTCGGGGGGTTCGAAAGAACCACCCTTTTTGCTGGGAAAAGGTCCACTCTGGTAAAATTTGACCTATAACGCCCTGTATAACCCGCCTAAACGCCCTGTATAACCCGTCAGCGACTGTATTCGCTCTGGGTAAAAGGGCATTATGATATTATTATACCACGGGGTGGGCGAGAAAACCAGCCTTTGAAAAAAATTACACAGGGTGTCCAAGATTCGGTGCTTTGGTTCCTGATTATAGCGGTCAGGTCTTATACAATGTTCTAATTCTTTTTTTATAAATGTCTTCCTGTGACTAACAGAATCAACAAGAGGAAGTCGTTATTTTCTATTGTTCTAGATCTTATAAAAATGCAGCTATCCTGTCCTATCCATATCGGACTCGTTGGGCTTCGATTCTTGTTGGTTCTTAAAACGCCGTCCCTTTTAGCAAGGCGGCTGGTTTATCGTATTTTCCTCGAAGTTGGAAAAGTCAAATGCACTTACATGGAAGTCAAAGTGAGTATTTGTGTATTTGTTCTTATAAATTGTTCAGTTTAAAATAATGGAGATATCAAGACAGGTAACTGTGAATGCTCCAATAGCCCAGCAAGTAAAGCCCTGCATAAATACAGAATACTTGTGATCGGCGGCGTTATCTTAAAATTTTTGAAATGCACATGTTGTTCCCTTGAAAATCTTTTACTTAACGAATTTTCTAGGGTAAACGTTATTTTTGGGACAATTAAGTCCTTACCCAAAATTTAAATGATTTTCTTTCAAATTCTGCCATCACTTCGAGCTCAGTTTTCACACTGACTCCCGTACCCCGCGGCAATTTAAAACTGGCATGGCGAGTCACAGGCGACGATGTTCGTCAGAAGTCGTCGGAGTAAATTTGAATAATTTTTGCGTCATTAATTCATGACATATAAATCTGTAAAGATATGATCAAAAAGTATTGCTCTCCCTCAAACAAGGCGTATTTCAAATAACTCTCTATATTAATCACGAACAGTTTAACAAATATTTTGACTTTTAAATCAAGAAGTGGTTTATGTTATGTTACTTGACGTTGAATGAGTGTTTGTCACTTTATGTAGGCGGGAAATATGACTTTAAGTATTGAAATAAGATCAAATAAGTTTATTAAGTTGTATTTGATATATATATATATATATATAAACGTTGAATATCAATCATGAATACATTTACAAACACCTTGACCACTGAATCTTAAAGTCGGACCATTTTCACATTTTGCTTTTACAGGGATTGTACCTCTTTGCCGTACTAGTTGTCGCAGTAGCCATAGCGTCACCCATGCGACGACACACGCACAGAGGTGAATGTGGAATTTTGGGCGCATACAAAAAGGAGGGTGGATTTTATGTGCCAATAAATCCTAGAGACAATCTTGCCAACACCACGGAGACATACTGCCCATGGTATATGATCTATGATGAAAAACCTGGCAGGTATGTTTACTATCTCTCGATCGATCTCATTCCCAGTCTCTCTCTCTCTCTCTCTCTCTC